GGCCACGATGACCTCCTTCTTCAGGATCTTCATGGCGTAGTAGCGGCCCGTGGCCTTCTCCTTCACCAGGATCACCTTGCCGAAGGTGCCTTTGCCCAGCAGCTTCAGGTATTCGAACTCATTCATGGTCTGCGGGGCGCGGGCGGCCTGTCACCGCGGTGTCGGTGGCTCGGGTGGCCTCTGGGGTGGGGCGGGTGGGGGCGCCGGGTGTGGGGTGCAACGGCCGGGGCGCAGGCGTCGGGGACCCGTGAGCCCGGAATGCGCCCTCACCACGCGGTGCTTAGGCTTGGTCAGGGACACCTCCATGTCCTCCGCCCCCGAGTTGTCACCAGGCGAGCCGGGCCGGAAGTCCATCATTTCTTCCTCCTGCTTCTTGAGCCCGTCGGCCACCGTCTGGATGGCGGTGGTCCACTCCTCCCTGCAGGGTGACTAGTGAGCAGCTGCCCGCCTCAGGAGCCCCCGGCAGCCACGCCCCTCACGCCCCGCCCCTACCGCTCCTCGGGCGTCTCCACGTGGAAGGTGCGCTCGATGACCGTGGTCCACTGCAGGCAGCGGATGATGAAGGTGTTGGGCCTGGGCCGCTCTGTCTTCATCAGCTGGCATTCTGGGGGGGGCGGGGGGTGGCCGTGAGCAAGGGGCTGACCGCAGGGCAGTGCTCCCCTCCAGCCTCAGGTGCCCTCCTTGTAAATCAGGGCTGGGACAGAGCTCTGGAGCTGCAGGGGCCCCAGGCGCGATCTGGAGCCATCTCGCTCCTAGCCCGCCCCCACCTGTCCGCAGTGTCAGCCTCCACCCTGGGCCAGGCTGTGGCCGAGGCCCGGAAAGGGCCTTCCGGGAGAGCGTCAGGCCCAACCTGCTACCTCTCCAATGCGCGCCGGAGCATGCACCACTGACCACGGCCCTCCTGACCCCGCTGGGTGGACATGAGCCTTCAGGGAGGCTGCCTGTCATGGCCAGCAGACACGCAACACAGCCTGGCTCCACACCCTGGAGGCCACCCCAGGCAGGGAATCTGGACGCACCAGGAGTATAAACTGCAGAAGGGGCCTCCCCGGGGCGCAGGGGTCAGTCTCAGGCCATCACCACCCTGACCTGAGTGTGATCCCCACAGGGAGTGACCCAAGGCACAGCAGACCTCTCCTGCCCTGCGCTGCTCCCCTCAGTAGTGGGTTTCAGTGGATCCGCCTGCCCCGCCCCCACCCTGTCTCAGGCGAATCCTCTCACCACCACACTCTGGCCTGTAGCCCAATGGTTCGACATAGACAAAAATAAATAAAAATAACTGCAGAAGTGTGAACACCTGGGTGGACCCACTGGCGCATGGCACACATGGAGCACACACTTGGTGCACACACATGGCACACACACAGATGGAGCATATACCTGGCACACATGGAGCACATGCCTGGAGCATAAAGAGCACGCATCTGGAACGCACACCTGGCGCACACACCTGGGTCACACATCTGGCGCGTACACACACAGAGCACATGCCTGGAGCTACCACACATGGAGCACATGCCTGGAGCACACACGGAGAGAGCACGCGCCTGCAGCACACGCCGGGAGCACACACACAGAGAGCACGCACCTGGAGCACACACATGGAGCACGCACCTGTAGCACATACAGAGAGAGCACACGCCTGGAGCACACACAGAGAGCACGCACATGGAGCACACACATGGAGCACGTGCCTGGAGCACACACGGAGCACACGCCTGGAGCACACAGAGAGCATACACGTGGAGCACACACAGAGAGAGCACATACAGAGAGCACACGCCTGGAGCACACAGAAAGAGAGAGCACATGCCTGCAGCACACACAAAGAGCACGCGCCTGGAGCACACACGCGGAGCACACACCTGGAGCACATGGCTGGAGCACACACGGAGTACACGCTTGGAGCACACACACGGAGCACATGCCTGGAGCACACAGAGAGAACGCACACGCCTGGAGCGCACACAGAGCACACGCCTGGAGCACACACGGAGCACACACCTGGAGCACACACACACGGAGCACACGCCTGGAGCACCCGCACACAGAACACTGGACTGTGGCCACATTCGAGGTGCACACTCGTGGCACTCACCCCACCAAGGGCCTGCGGGGAGCACAGGGCCCTGAGAGGTGCCTCTGCCACCAGCCCAGCCTGTGTGAGGGAGACCTCCCACATTCCAGTGTCCAGTCTGGCAACCTCAAGGGCCCTGGCCAGCACACCAGAGGGCAGGAGAGGGTCAGTCTGCCAGGCCGGGGTGGGTACCCTGACGGGGAGGGTACCCTGACGGGGAGGGTCCTGTTCACAGGGGCTGGGGAAGCGGGCTGGAGGCCTGTGAGGTTGCCTCACAGCCCAACCCAACCTGCTGACCCAGACAGCCGTTGCAGACCCCGCTGGCCTCCAACTGGGCTCCGAGGCCCATCTTGGGGCCTGGCTCTTGGGCCCCGCCCTGGCGTCCATCCCTTCAGACTGGCCCGGCCCCTCTGGAAGCTCTGGTCCACCCCCGAGGGCTCCATCTGGGAACAAGCCAATGGCCTGGCACCCAGCCAGGCACAACCACCTGCTGTCGCCTGAGCCCCAGAGCCCACAGCCACAAAGAGGCCAGCAGACCCCGCACCGGCTCCTCGGGGTCCCCATCCTGGGGCCCTGACTCCACCTGCTGCTCGGCTGAGGCTAGGATAGCCCTGGGAGCTGGGGTTCCAGGCTCAGAGGCAGGGTCCAGCAATGCCCCTCAGGAACCCCGCAGTCTGGTGCCTGGGAGGCAGGGAGCGAGCCTGCAGCCCAGGGCACACAGGAAGGCACCCGGGGGAAGCGCCACTCTGAGCTGTCCAACTGCAGCCCAGGACAGAACCTGAGGCCAGCATCAGGGTCGCAGACTGGGGAGCCACGTGAGGCCCGCCGGGCAAGTCCCTCCCACCTCCAGACACTCACGGGCCACAGAGAAGTTGTTGAGCGGGGACTCGCGCTGCTCCGTGTCCTGGGGCCGCTCCTTGTACCCAATGAATGTGCCATCATTCTTGAGGAGGAAGTAGCGGGGCCGCCAGGTCTTGATGTATTCCCCTGCGGAAGCCGGGCGGTGAGGGTGGCACCCCACTCCCACCTGTGGGCCCCGTCCACGCCAGTCCGCCGGGCCAGGAGATGAGCCCAGGCCGGGAGGTAGGGCTTCCGGAGAGAAGCTCCCACCCAGGAGAGCTGGCCCCACCTGTGTGGGAGAGGGCCAGGTGGGCACCCATGAGGCGGCCTTGAGGACTGAGGGGGGCTGGGCCAATCAGGAGGGCCTTCCCGGAGAAGGTGGCACCACCAGCAAGTACCATCAACAGCTCAGGCGTGGGCTCTGCAAGCCAAGAGCTTTCCCCTGGCGCCCAAGTCCAGCGAGAACAGTCCGTGGGGACAGCGGCACACCAGCCGCCACCACGTGGCCCCTGGAGAAGGGCAGAGCCTGGCACGTGGGACCAGCACAGCACCCACAGCAGGACTGGGCTCACCTGGGCGCTGCGGCCCAGGTGCCCGCGCAGGGGCGGAGCCCGGCCGGAGGCCACACCCCACCCGGCCCGCGGTTCTCCCGCGCTGGGACTGGCAGG